ATAACTGCATGGTTAGTGTGATAAAAGGGGTTTGTTAGAGGAAATAACTGCATGATTAGTGTGATAAAAGGGGTTTGTTAGAGGAAATAACTGCATGGTTAATGTGATAAAAGGGGTTTGTTAGAGGAAATAACTGCATGGTTAATGTGATAAAAGGGTTTGTTAGAGCAATTAACTGCATTGTTAGTGTGATAAAAGGGTTCGTAGAAGTCACCTTACTGTTTACCCGGTGTTGTTTGTGCAGACACTACACTCATTTTGAAGGAAAAAATCATCAAATAAATTTTACAAAAGTCCAATTGTTCTGTATATTTTATAAAAGAATAGAATAGATAATTGCAACACTGCTTATCAGTATTATAGGTAAGGCTAAAGTATTAAATAAAAAACATGTATCAGATTGAAAAATAAGAACATGTACAGTCAATAACAAAAAAAATCAGCAAATCATGAACCATTAAAAAGAACAAAGGCATGATTATTTATCAACCTTAGTTACACTTGAGGTTCATTCTGTGCTTTCATACAGGAACATGTACTTATCATGAAAACAAGTATTTTTTACAGACATTGGTACATATTTTTTTTAAAATAAGAATAAATAATGCTTGAGAGATATCTCAAAAATTACCCTCTTTCTTCTTTCAACAAGTTATTTTAGTTAATACTCTGTGAAGCTAATTATAAGTTTAAAGAGTTTAAAACTATATAATTTGAAGTTGAATACCAACCACAACTTACCTTGCATTTTAAACAGGAATATTGACCTAGTCTGTTGCAAGATTGACCTACATCACAAACAAATTAAATTTTTTTAGAACAGCTCTCAATTTGATTAAATAAAAATAAAAACCTCATGTTTAAAACTGGATGAGTTAAAACTAACAAAAATGCTAATACTTTTCTCTTTGAAGGAACTAAAAAAATTTTCAATAGATTAAAAACCATTCCTACTTTTTCATTGCTCATCTATGTTTTCAAAGGAAAGGAAATATTCACAAAATTGTAAAAAAGTCTGACAAGAATTTTTTTAAGTTTCACAATGTGCATTTTTATCTGTTACAAGTTATCTGAAAAACTTACTTCATATTATACATATTAAACTGTTGAGTAGGAAATTCACATCAGAGATGAAATTGAGGTACATTTTAGCTGCACCATTTATGTACTGAGCACAGTTAGTACACTAATTTTACTCCAAGATACCAGTAATTTAAACTCAAAGTATCTAACTGAGCCAACTTGTCTGAAAGAATCATATTTGTCAAAATGAGATTACCCAGTAATGAGTTTGGCCTCCCTGATAGTGAGGTAGTTTATGTATCTGCAAGCACACTTGTGATCAGTCTGCTGATGAGGGAGGATCCTGTCCCACTTCTCAGTCATTGCAATGCTAGGATTCCGAGATCAAGTATTGGGTTACTTGGTGTTCAAGGAGAGCCCAAAGGTTTCCTATAGGATTTAGATTAGGATGTTTTGCTAGCTAGTCTATGAATTTTATGCATTCTTGTTCATGGTACTCCATTGCAACCTTGGAAATATGACACTAGAAATTATCTTGCATTAGCACAACACCTGATTTGACAACAGAAAAGACTGTAGAGAGCAGATCTACAGCTCAATAAAGTTTGCAAATCCATTCTTGCTGGTAATTTTTCACTTCTTAAATGCAAGTGAGCTGTCAGGAACACAATCACATTTAACAATGTTGTAGTAAACACCTTATTCACATTTGACTGGTAGAGGCATGAAATTTTGACAAATCTGTAACTTCTGGCAATTTTGATAGTAGTCCAAACAAGTTATATAATCAAATGTGTGGCTGAAGCAAGTCTTCTCAATGTTTAGAACATCTGATGATACCTGTTCCCTCACAAGTTATTCATTAACAACCACTCTTTGCTGTCCAGAACCCCTCAGTGGCTGATGGTACTTTTGTGTTCACAAAGATATTTGGTATTTCCGCACAAATGATAAAAGTTTTTCCTGTACAACAAAAGAGTATTTCTGTACTGTGAGAGTGGTAAATGGTGTTTTTGTTGCAAAGCGTATGTGTATGAAAGGGCATCTTTATTAAAGAGTTTAGTTAAGCTACAGAATCATACAAACTGCATTTGTAACACATTATTTAGAGACATACGCATTATGGTGGTATACATCATGATGATTATTAGTTAGGTCCATATACTGCTTTATTTCAGAAACACTTTTTTTTAGCCTTTAAACTGAGTTGATTTCAACTACAAGCTGAAGACATTTTATCTAATCAAGTTTAATAAAAATGAAAGATATAGAAACATTAGTTGAGTCAGAAATACATTGTAAAAAGAAAAAGATCTATTAATTTTTGCTCCCATTTTCTCTATAACTGCCAATGAAAAAGGTTTAGCTTGTAACACACTATCACAAAATTAAAATAAATTTGTTATATTATTTTTAATATAACAGACAAAAATGAATATAAATTGTTTAAATTCACATCAAAAGTTTTAGGATTTTGAATATGTCTTCACAAAAACTGACACGTTTTATTTCTTTATGCTGACTTTCCACATTATTAACTGATAAAATAACAGTGAAATGTTGTATACTGAAATCACTGCACTTTCTGAATAGATGTACATGTTCCTAAAAGCAGTCTTACTTAATTATATTAGACAAGAAATACTAATCCTTTTATTAGGTCATCAAGAAATTAATGTTGTTTTTTTTACACGAAAAAACCCGAACAACTTGTATATCAAAACAAAACATTTATTAAATGAAGCAGTCTCCATTCTTATTAATGATGCTTTTCCATCTTACAATCAGGTTGTTTATGCCCTGATTAAAGAAAT